TTTTATTCTTTTGTGCATATTAAAAATATAAATAATTTATTACCTTGAACATGTTAAAAATATGATAAACAAATCATTTTATAATAAAATTTGATATTTTGTGTAATTAAAATTATTAACACCTTTCTTCCTATTATTCATATAAATTTAATTTTTTTATTTCATTAAGAGTCTTACATTAACCTTTTTTTATTGTTTACTAATTAAAAAATATTATTTATTTGCATATCATATCGTTATACTTCTTATTTGCTCCCTTTGTTCTAAATTATAAGACAATTTGAAACAAGATTATATATATATATATATATATCAATAAAACTTAATAATGACACTTTACAAATTATTTTTTTAAAAATAAAAATATAAATTTTTAAAAATATTCTTTATTTAATATAACTTTAAATCTATACAATCACAATAGAATAATTATTTCAATTTTGTTTCCTTTTAAAAGGTAATATTAAAAAAGTATTATAAATGAAACTTTATTATTGTCAAGTTATTTTATATTTTAGGATAATAAAATATTTTAAAGTTATCTTATAATTTAAAATGGAAGAGTAAATTTTTTGTTTGCCAATTCTCTTTTTTAATTCTCTCTATTATTATCTTTCTATTTAACAATAATAAATGAAAAACTTTGTTCTTACCTTTCCCTCTTCAAATTATAGTCATTCTCTATCAAACAGTTAAATAAATTGTAAGCCTTTATGTACTAAATAACATAATTTTAAAGGTTTAAGGATAAATTTATCCTTAAATTATTTTTCGAAGAGTATTAGATATTCTACATCATAGTGCAAAGAGATTCATCAACTATAAAAAGGGTTAATGTACAATTTGAATTTTGAACTATCAATTCAAGGAGCAATTTAAATCTTGAACTCATATTTGGTACATTTTAAACTATAAATAATTAAAATTGTAGCAATTAAGTTTATCAATTGATAGTTCAAGATAAAGCTTTATAATATGATATTTTGAATGAGATTTCAAGTATTATAAGACTATGTGAGTGTCCTAAATATTTTTCTTAATCACATTTTCTCTTTAGTTTCAGATTTAGATTATGCAAAATCTAGAATTTGAAAGATGGATGAATTTTTGATGAATAAATATAATTATTGAGATTATTGGTAGTATAATAAACATTTTAAAGTATTATTTTGTTGATGAAATTTGAATTTGAAGCTTTTGAGTTAAACCGTAGACCTCTATGGGTAGATTTTTAGTTAAATTTAAAAATATAAATTAATTTGTTGATGCTTAGATGATTATTTGAGATGAAAAATAGATTATTATGGCTATAGAATTATAATTCTAGGCTTGAGACTAAGTTTGTAATTTTTTGATATTTTTAGGTGCAAATTTTTGGAATAAAAAGGGATATTTTGATATTATAAAATTGTTTGAAGGATGATTTTAACCAAACTTTAATGAAACTTTTGTGAAGGAAGCTATTGAATTAAGTGGATAGGTTCAAATATATGAAATTGAATTTTAGAACTCAAGAGGCTAAGACTAAAGTCTTAAAAAAATGAAATGAAATAAAATAAATACCTAAGTGTTAATAATATTATTAACACATTTGGATATGATTAATTGTAGATTAATTTTCTTTTAGCACCATTCAAGCTTTGAAAAGCTTTGGAAGTGTTGTAACTTGGGGGGTAATCTTTAACCTATCAAAAGTTGAGGTAGCTAAAAGAAATCTATTTTATGTATTTATGTGTTAATTAATTATTTTTGTTTGTGAAACAAATGAATGTGTGTGTGTGTGTGTGTATCCAAATCTTAAAATTATAGTTTGTAATACATATGTGACTTTGTTGAGATCTTATAATTTGTGACTAAGTTAATTGTGACATGATTTGAGTAATGAGATTGAGGATTGATAATTATGTGTATACTTTTGATTATAAATTGTGGATTATACATGGTGATGAATTGTATATGAGCATGTTGAGTTTTTAATATAATGCTATTGTGATTATGTGATAATATAAAAATTGATACATAAGGCGTGATTGAAATATGATAATTCTTGATACTTGTTGAGCAAGAAAATTGATGAGCATGTGAGATAATTGTGAATTACATATATGAGAGTTATTGAAATGCATTTTCTCATGAGTATGATCATATGGCAGGAGTTCACTTTAATAAAGGAGCTAGCAATTGTGCAAAATTCATATGATACTTGGCTATTAATCAATAATTCTAAAGGTTATAGCCACTACTTATCTTGTAGGGTGCTGTAGCATTGTTTCTATTAAGGGACTTAACCCTATTGGCCTATCTGAAGTTTTAGGTAGAGATAGTCTTGGATATGACACCCTATGGTGTGTGATTTGTGGAAAATCATATTCATAAGTGAGTAAGGTAACCCTGACCTAGTAACCCCTCATAATATGATTAAGGCCTTAGGTAGTCTTACTATATAGACAGTCCTTTCCTATTGTTGGCCCATGAATTTCATGTTAGAGGGAATAAGGGAGGATATAAGGAAAAAATTGATCATACATTTTATTATTATTATTATGCCATTTGAGTGATTGATGACTATGTTTGAGACTATGATTGTAATTGTGGAAATGAGAACATGTGATAAATATGTGAACAATGTATATGTGGCCACTTGTGCCAATTTTATATGAACATTCAATACTTATAGGTAATTGTGCCAATTTTGTACTTGACTCTGTTCTTGAGATTATTCATGAGTTATATGTTAATGTTATTAGTATGATCTCGATATGATTGTTTGCATGGTCATCTTGATAAATTTATTAGCCACTTGCATTCATAATTAATTATCATGTATTTGAGTAACTTAAATGTACCTTGGTTATTGAGTGATTGTACTCACCCCTCTATTTTATCATATTACAGGAGCTAACTCATATGGAAAGAATAGATGAAAGGAGTATCAGGCCAAGTGATCGTAATAACTTCTGTAGGCCTTTCTCTTTTTTCATATGTGTATTTAGTTTATGATATTACCAACTAAGATAATATATTCTTGATCCACTTGAATTATGGGTTTTGTGTTTGGTGAAAATGTATTTTAGGCCCTTGGGAATGTGATTTGGTGATTATGTTTATATTACTAAGCCAAAATATTTATGCAAGTAAAAATAGTTATTATATATATGATTTGAGAATTGAAATATTGTTATGGTCTTCCCTTGTGTTTTGATGTCCAATAGTGAATAGTTGATATTAATCATATATGAATGAAAAGGAAAATTCATGCATGTGATTAACTATTGATGAATAGATGATATATAGAGTATGATGACCAGTTGATAACCATTGTGATAGATGTGATTAAGACCTTAGCCTTCCGTTATCAGTTATAGAAAGGTTTGAGTGGTCAAATGTTATATTAGTGAATATATGTATCATGTGGAGTAAGGCACAAAGAGAAAATAAGGGAAAAAGTTTTTCTTCCATCTTGAGATGTGTTTTTTAATCATGCTTTCACACAGGTTTAATTGAATAACGTGAGCTTTTGAAATATTTTAAAAACTTGAGATTCCTTTGTTTTAAATAGTTTGTACAAATATATGTTAATGACTTATTTTGATTAATCACTATAGGATAACCCTTTTGGGCTAGTCTTTAATTAACTATAGTTAGTGTGATGATTTAAGTCCTAATTTAGGACACTCCTTTATAGTCTATGGTTCATTATTGTGTTGATTGGTTGGTTAAATGAGTGTGTATTGCATATAGAGTTGGCAATATCATATTATACATATTGTTTCCCCTTATTGAGCTAGTGGTAATTCCCTTTTTTTGTTTTTGGTGATTGCTTCCATCCTTAAGAGGGAAAACATGATGCAACTAATATTGGTAATGTTTTGGAAAATATACAAAGACTGGAGTAAGGAGATCTGATGGGGCCACAAATAATGCCAGTGGGACAACAAATAATATTGGTTAGGCAAGAGCAAAGACTAATGGATCAAAAACAACAATGGGGACAACCGAAGCCTCAATAATGATATTTTGGAAAAATTGAGGTAAATGATGAGGGGTATCCAAAAACAAAAAAAAAAAGATAAACATGATGAGATCCTCGGGAAGAGACTTGGAGAGAGCAGTAAAATTGTGGAGAAGGCTAGCAACATTCATGAAGAGATCTGTGATGATATGCACGATGATGTGCATGGTCATAAGGATGGAGAGTAATTTGAGGAGACTATACCAGGGACGTTGGTATGACCGATGCATCCTAAGAGGAGTGAGTCTGAGAACTCCATAGATCTAGTGTTGACAAGGTTCATAAGACTAAATCCTCCATCTTTCAAGAGTTCTATAGAAGATTGAGCTGGAGAGAAATGGATAGACAAACTGATTATGGGCATGTTGGAGCTTAGCTCTGTGATAATTAAATTGAGGGGGATACAGGAGATTCTTTAGGTTTTGCTCAGTCCCCTTCATCTTCAAACGCTATATACCCTTAAGTGTTAATATTGTCATTCTTTTTTTTTTTTAAATTGTACGGTGTTATTTTCTGGAAAGAAGTTATTTTCCTATAGAAGGTTAGAGTTGTAACGCCTATCAAGTGTTCGTTATTTGTCACCGAACCAAATTTCTCTGAAGGGAGGAATTGAAGAGGAAAAGAAGAAGAAGAATGAACTTTTTCTTGGAATTGCCGAAGGTGCTGGAATAATTATCGTCCTTCGTTTATGAGAAGATGAATGGAGAAACAAGACAAGGAAGGTTGAAGAAGAGACTTTGGTCAAAGCATTTTTAGTCAAAAGTATTTTGTTAAACGGTCAAAGTTAACATCTGTTTGTATTTGGATATAATTGCCACGATTTTTGGATATAATTGCCACGATTTAAGGGCAAATCTGATCTTGAACCATAATTTTAAACATCATACAACTTTGGCAAAGGAAAAGGAATCTTAGCAGTAAACTTATCTTTCCACTATTGACCCCCGATTCTAACCTAAAACTCCACAACAAATGGAACCAAGCGTACTTGTTTCAAAAGTAAGGTGACCTTTATTTCAAGGATTTCATCAAATGATTATTGTTCAATACAACGCACATATATAATTCAAGTTCTTTTGTGTGCTTGAAGCTTGTCGTATAAGCCGCGTCATTAACTTTTTTTGAAGACACAAAAAAAAAAGTACAATAATACAGTGAATGCACACAAGAATTCAAAAACCCCATCTATATATCTAGGAAAGCTGATGGACTAGCTAGAATCTCAAGTTTACATTGGCTAACTTGACGGTTCGAGAATGATGATCAGGCCTTGATTGGATGGAAGACGACAGTTGAGTGGTTGGCAATGTGCAAACTGAATTGGCCTCCCTTTTCAGAGACATCTATCTGTGTGCCTTGTGGAGCCTCCATCTCAAAATTTGACACCAACTTGGCAATCACTAGGCCCAGTATTGGCAATGCAAGTATGATCCCAGGGCAGCTCCTCCTTCCTACCCCAAATGGCAAGTACCTGAAATCAACCTTCCCACCGGCCACGGCATCAGTCCCACTTTCCTCTTCCATGAACCTCTCTGGCCTGAACTCCTCTGGCTTTTCCCACCATGCCGGGTTGTTTGCCAGCCACCAGGCATTCACCACCACCTTTGACTCTTTTGGTATGCTATACCCCCCTAGCTTTGCTTCCTCAAGGTTCATGTGTGGCACCAATAGAGGTATTGGGGTGTGAAGCCTTAGTGTCTCCTTCACTACAGCTTGTAAATATGGCAGCTCTTGCAGGTTAGATTCTGTCACTCTCTCGCCTTTAAGCACTAGTGATATCTCTTCACGTATCTCGCTTTGAACCCTTGGATGTTTCACCAGCTCTGCTATTGCCCACTCCATAGACCATAAGGTCGTCTCTATTGCTGCCACGTTAATGTTCTCCACAATGTAAAGCACATTCTCCTCACTGATCTCTCCTTTCATCTGCGCATCTATGATGTGGTCGATCGCGCAGCTTATCTTGTGCTCTTCCCCATTGGCGGCCATTATTTTTCTGTCAACCAGAACATCACATATGAATACGACGGCCATATGCTAATATGATATGACAAGTATCAATGTACAATTTAAATGATCGTCCTGTTTGGTACGAAGATCAGACCTGTTTGACTTGACTGTTTTTGTTAGGTGTTTGTACTTCACAGGCAGATATGATGACGGAAATATTACATGTATTAAATTCATGTCAGGTTGATGGTTACCTTCTTTGTTGAACGTAGTGGTTGTTGAAAAATGCGAGCCTCCTGGTTTGCAAGTTCCTGCACCTGTTTAGGTAGCCCTTCAGAAAGGGTCTGAGCAGAGGGATGAAGTCTCCGTAATTATACTCAAAACTCTGAGCCAGACGGCTTCTTTCAGAGTTGAATCGGGTGGCCTCAATGAACAAGGGATCCTCCTGGGACTCAAACTTGGCATCAAACATCATCCTGTACATGATATTGTACAGCATCAATTGCAGACGCTTTCTGATCAAGATCCCCTGGCTTCTCACGGTCTCACTAGTGTTGAGGTCCCTCACAACCAGGTCCATCTCTTGTTCCCACATGTCACTGTACTGGTGGACAACCTTGTTGGTGAAAAAAGGGACGGTCATGACTCTGCGCATTTTACGCCAGTGATCACCATACACGGTGAAGACCATGTCCTGGCCATTTCCAGTGAAGATATCAAACACAACGTTTCGGGGGCGAGAACCGAATTCGACGCCTTGGGAGTGAAGGACTTGAGTGGCGAGCTCAGGATCGGAGACCACAACAAGGTTCTTGGAACCCAGTTTGAGGAGGAATACGGGGCCATAGGTCTGGGACATGGAAGCCAGGAGACGGTGATTGAGGTCATTCCCAACTTGAAGCCAGTTCCCAAAGATAGGGACAGAAAGAGGGCCCGGAGGGATGTTAGAGGGCTTCCTGCTGGACTGCTTCAGGAACAGGACCAGGGGAAAGACGAAGGCAGCGAGTGAGAGAAAAGATGGTGAGAATTTAATGAGGATGGAGATGATGAGAGCGAGTGTGATTAGAGTGAAAGAGAGAGATTTGTTGATGAGAAGACGACCCATTTTGTTTTTGCGAGGACAGAGGCTGAAGAGAGGTGTTGATGAGTTTGATTATATATATTAGGAGCGGATGGGGGTTTCTTGTCCCATGGTTTTAGAGGAATCCATGGGCTCTATTTTGAAATCAAGGTAGGAGAGATGGCAACGGGGATAGGTGAGAGCAAAGCCTCTTGTGGAGCAGTCAAATGTTGAGCTCCTTGGTAGGTGAATGCCATGTTGCCCCATTTGGCCTCCGTCTCCCTGGTCAAGCCAACCCTGCATTTAATTGTATTTCTAATTCCAACCCACAATTTGCCCTGCTTTTTTCAATCCCTACTCCGTTTTTTCTTTTTTCTTTTTTAAAAAACTATAACCTGTTGATATTATATAGCTAATAAACAGGTTAACCCTTACTTTGACGCGATTATTGTGCAGGTGGGTATATATATTGTTTTCAAATTTCGGCTTCTTTAAAATATTTTTAACCTTTGCTGGTCACCCAAAAAAAAAAAAATTTACCTTATCCGCACAAGACTTGCGCGGGAGATCTCTAGCAAGCTAATGAACTAATCATTCAAACAAATATCAATATATAGTTTTTTCAGCGGATTAGCTCACCCCGGCAACTATACAAAAGAACATTTTGGTTTGGCTTTGCTTCATCATCAATATATTAAAATATACGATATGAAATAGAAAAATTAATCATGCGGAGTGCTCATGCTTTACGGTGAATAACGAGCAATTGGAGAGATCCTCTGATTTATTCCCTTCCGTGGATTTCGCTCTGGTGGGATTGAAATCTGATATGTTTTTCCAGGTCCTATTGTTCTTCTTTTATGACTTCGTTATGGGAGTCTACATCATTTTGGTATTGTATATACACGCTGCCTATGTTTTTATAGGAAACAAATGAGAATAAACAAACAGAAATAAATAAAATGGAAAGGTACAAGATGAATATGTCATGGGTGTAAGACGTGTGTCGTTGAGGTGTTGCTCGAGTGTTCTTTCAAGTGGGGCTTGCATGAATTTGTTTGTTTGTGCATGCAAATCTTCATTTGCCCTTCCCTTGTGATTAGGGGTAATTCGCTACTCTGTTTTGAGGAAGAAAAACGGGGAAAGAGCAGGCTGGAAATATTTTAAGCTATAACATGAAGAAATTCGATAGGCAACAATTGAGCGACTGAGGGATATGTTAATGGGTTCCTCAATAATTATGCAGTCTTGAAGCACGCCAATTACATGCCACGATGGAATGAAAACAGGTTGCTCATTTTATTGAGCTTCCAGTGATTCGTAACTCGCTAGCTTCAAGTGTTGCCCGACCTTATTGGATAAGTTGAGTTGTTGACGCGAAGAACTCTCTTTTAAGATTGTGTGAATAACAAGAAATTGTTGCAGTAAATATTAAACACTAAAGAAAAGAAAAGCTCACATTAGATTCAAGTCTTTTTTTCCCAATCACTTGGGAGTAACCCGAGCACAAATTTATACACTCGCAACGCCTACCCTGCAAGACGTGAATGTGTTTGAGAGGGTGTCTGATGTGTCAGCGTGCCATCATGTCAGGATCGGCGCTGACCCTGTAAACGGTTGGTTGTCAATTACATGTGCACGATCAACTTCTCCTACTTTGGTTTTCCCCCTCGTATGATGGATTTCCTAATATCTTTCTCACTCCTCACAGCAACATCTTCAGGTGGACGCGTTCCATTGCTTTTTTAAGCTTCGTCCCTTCAAATGAGTTTTGAAATAGAAACTGGATAAGTTGCGGAATATTCTATATCCTACTGTTTATTTCTTATCTATATCCTTGCTCATTAGTTGCTTAAAATTCTATCCTTTCTGTGCGTTCCACGGAAGCATATTTTGAGTGATTATTTTTAATTCAAGAAAAAAAATTCTGATTCGAGTAACGATATTTAGATTAAAAAGAATATTATGTATGTTTCAGTGTAGGAGTGATCGTCAACGTATTTTGTTATGGACGACAGTACCGATCTTAGATAGTCAGATTGCTTCGCTTCACTTGCAAAATAGTGAACCGAACCATCCCAATATAACTCTGGCTCGGAGGGGCCAAGGGGACAGGTGGAGAACTGAGATTGGGAAAATATGCAAAAACACAGATCACAACGCTGCTCTATCTCATTAAAACAGAAGTTCATTCTTTCAGATCCACTCGGTTTGATAAGCTGGAAGAAAAATGGGAAAGAAAATTGATGGCGCAAAGTAGAGGACATTCAATATTGATTATTATATATCTACCTTTATGTGATTTTATTAATCTCCGCTTAGGCGTATGAAGGGCAATTTTCATGTGAACGAAAGACACTTTTCATTCATTTCTCTTTTCTATCCTGTTATATTTCCCGTATCAAACTAGTTGAACTGAAATTATTGAACAGGACAAACTCCGTGATTGATGAAAAAAGAGTTACAGATAAAATTGCGTGATTTAAATTTTTAGTTACACATGTTGAATTGATAATTATTGATATAATATTAAAATTCTGATTAACCTGATTGGTTTTAATAAACTGTTTTGTTTATAAGTAGTCTAATCATGGGTTGATTATAATTACCTTGATCAGTTCAAATATGGGTTTAGGGTGTATTTAGTTTTCAATTAAAAAAAATAAATTAACAAAGTGCGATGATATTTGAATAATATTTTTTAAAATTAATTTTGATAATTGAAGATGTAAGGATAATTTTTATAATCAATTATAAATATAAGGAAAAATAAAAATGTTCAAATGCTAAGAATTTATTCTCAAATGAAGAAATAAACAGCTCATGCCGAATAAGGTTTTGGAAAGCAAATGAAGTTAAAAAAAATAAAGGTGTTTGGATAAAATTTTTTAAAATACTCCTCTAATCCAGTATATAAATTACTTTTTAAAAGCATAATTTAATTCACTCTATAAGTTATTGATTGATAGGATTGTTTTGTTTTAAATTGAAATTTTTAAATTATCTTAAAAAGTAAGAGAGAGAAAGATATAAAAAATAATATTATATGATTAATTTATTTTTTACTTTTTACTTGAGGATTATATTTAAAATTTTACTTACTTTTATTTCTTGTATTTTTATTATATTGGTATTGATGAGGTTGGTAGAAATGATTTATAAATAAGATTAAATAGAGTAATAATTTTGAAGAATATCCAAATTAGGGAGAGTTTTTATGGTCTTGATTGTGGATAAGCAGTAAGAGTAGAATGTTAATTGAGCAAATAACTATGATGAGAGTTAAAAATAAAGGTTGGGCTTAAAGAGCCCCTCATTTAAGCTCATTTTTATAAAAATTTGAGTTTCAAAAAATGATATTTTTTAAAAAATCGAGCTTTCAAGTCTGACCCTAATAAATTCTGAAAAAATGAGTTTAGGTGATCCTTTTAAGCTCATTTTTATTTTTTCCTTAAAAATAAAATATTTTTTATTTTTAAATTGAACTTAAACTTTAAAATATATATTTATATTTTAAAATTAAAATTATTATTTTTTTTTTAAATTTTAAATATTAGAATTTGTATTTTTAAAAAATATATGAAATATTGTAATTTAAAATTTTAATTTTTAAAAATTTTAAAAAATAAAAAATAATAATAATGAATTATTAACATGATAAATTTTTTATATAAAGGTTGAGTTTTAAAAAATAAAATATTTTAAAAAAATTGAATTTAAGGGCTCTATCTTGTAAGGATCGACCCATTCGTTTTTCAACTCCAACTGTAGTGAGGTAGAGGATTATTGGATACCGGATTGACTTGATAGTGTGATAATATTATTTTGGGGGTGAAAGATATGAATTTGATGTGAAGCGGGGAATGATAAACAATGCCAAAAGGGAACGGGAGCGTAAAGCAGTAAAGCACAAAGAATGAACAAGTGGATGACACATATGGTGAACAGGAAATGGAGGAGCCCGTAAAAAAGAATAAAAAGACAGAAATAGTAAAATGCAGAGAGTGAAAACTGCAATCGCATCTATTTCACACTGAAAAGTGAAAACCACACGGACTGAGAAAGAGTAATCCCTCCAGTCTCCAAATCAGCTCCAACCGCGACTTCCAACCTACCCAATTCCTCCTTCCAAACTCCAAAATGGGGGTCAGCAACAACATCACCGCCTTCCTCAACTTCATCGCCTTCCTTGCCTCCATCCCCATCATCGCCGCCGGCATTTGGCTCGCCCAGAACCCCGACAACGAGTGCATCCGCAACTTCCGCTGGCCCGTCGTCATCCTCGGCTTCCTCATCCTCCTCGTTTCCCTCGCCGGCTTCGTCGGCGCTTACTGGAACAAGCAGGGCCTCCTCGCTCTTTACCTCTTCTCCATGGCCCTCCTCATCGCCGTCCTTCTCATCCTCCTTATTTTCGCCTTCGTCGTCACCCGCCCCGACGGAACCTACCGCGTTCCCGGCAGGGCCTACGATGAATCCCGCCTCGACGGCTTCTCCGCCTGGTTGAGGAACCACATCACCGGTTCTGGGAGCTGGGCCAAGATCAGATCTTGTTTGGCCGATTCTGATATCTGCATTAAGCTCGCCCAGGAGTATATCACCGCCGACCAGTTCTTCAATTCCCATCTCTCTCCTTTACAGGTCCGTATGCATCCCAATTAATACTTGTTCTGCGTGCTTGGCTTGGTGAATTGGAGATGGATTTGCCATTTGTGTGTCCTCTGTTATTTTTCTGTTTTTTTTTTTTTTAAGAAAGATAAGCCGAAAGGTCACACCCATTTCATCAAGACAAAGAGTTTCTTTGTTGACTTCTCTAAACACTGCAACCCGTCAGGATCTGTTTGCCAGCATTTAGAATTTAAAAATTTGGCCTCCACCTTAAACATAGACGATAAACCCGAGCTTTTAGTTATTGGGTTTTGTTCCATGTTCTTTTTTTTTAAAAAAAAAAAGTTGAGTTTCGAAAATGGCTCTGAGAAGAATGTAGGGAATAATGGAATTGGCAGTGAAGGAAGATGATCCTGGACTGACAGAACCCAGACAGTGACGGTCACTCGACTTAGTGTCCGTGATGTTTCGGGTGGGGCCTGGTTTTCTATCTTATCTTAATCCACGCTACAGACACAGAACTAGAGTAGGGTTAATTATTAGATGTTGAGTGGAGAGGTTAGGAGAAGGGACGCGCTCTTATGTGACCTTCCGCAAGCAGAAGATCTTTTTCAAAAGATTTTGATGCCTCAAATCGGGCATCATTAGAAGACGACACCAGACCCATCGCTTCCCTCGGAGCGGATAGCCACGAGGGGCATTGTAATGGTGCCCGGAAAGGTGCATGCCAGCTGAGAAGAAATCATGCAAATTTAAGATAATCACCCTACAATAGTTAAAGTCAATATTTTTTTGTGCTGATTGCAAATAATAATAATAATAATAATAAGTGTTGGTGGCAGGTCGGGGCATTGTTTAGTGGGGTTTGTTTTCTACTGTTGTTATCCGCTAAGTGGTGTTAGATGAGTGTATGATAGTGTGGTGGCTGATGCAGTCAGGGTGCTGCAAACCTCCAACGGTGTGCGGGTACAGTTACATGAACCCAATAATGTGGACGAACCCGGCGAATCCGACGGCGGACCCTGACTGCTACGTGTGGAGCAACGATCAGAACGTGCTATGCTACAACTGCAACGCGTGCAAGGCGGGGCTGCTGGGAAACCTCAGGAAAGAGTGGAGGAAGGCGAACATAATACTGATAGTGGCGGTGGTGGTGCTGATATGGGTGTATCTGATAGCGTGCAGCGCCTTCAAGAACGCCCAGACAGAGGGCATCTTCAACCGCTACAAACAGGGCTGGGTTTGAGCTTTACATGTACATTCTCTTTCTCTTCTGCTTCCTGCTTATCACATCCGTGTATTAATTTCCCACTTTCACTTGTGATTCCATCTTTAAACATTATTTGCTACTTCATAACTTCTGCCATCTTGTGTATGAGAACAAGATAGTGTAGAGTGCAAATAATTAATTTATGGAGGGCACGTGGGTGGGGCGGCAGTTGGGGGACCAAATGAGCGCCGACCCCACCGACCGCCATCCAAGTAAAGTGATGCTTCAGCTTCAAGTTATGTTTCTATTAAAATTACCCTCATCTAACACCATTACTCGTGTATGCCACGCGGCCCTCTGGAATTATTGCACTTTATAGACACTTTAATATTGTATGTAGACCGTGCACGCCATCAAGGAGACTTCTTGTTTCCAAGTGAGAAAATTAGTGTCATCAAGAATTACATTAATTATCTTGTCTGAGAAGGACTTCTGAATGGTAGGAGTGGCAAGAATAGGAATCTGAGCCATGGAAAATATAACCAAAGGATGGAGGAAGAAAAATAGGAAAACTCGAAGATGAAATTGGAGTCACCAGTCCACTGGCTCTGATACCATGAAATGAAAAAAAGAGTTTAGAAAAAAGATAATCTCGAAGTACGATCTAATTATTCAAGAGATAATTGTTTACAAACCTTTTATATTTACAAGTGCTAATCACTCTGTTAACAAACTAAACTCTTAATCAACTTAGCTAATGGGCTTACAATACTACGGTTTATGAAGGCCCAATACTTTAATAGATTTGAGGATCATCATATCTTCTTGTCACCGGTTCTGGATCTTTAAAATAGAACTTGAACCTTTAAATTTAAATTTTACATTTTACAATTTTTAAAATGATAAAGTCATCTCTTTTTTTAAAAAAAAATGATAGTTAAAAAGTATCTGCATTCCAAGTTTTACATTTATGAGAATAAATTCATATAAAGTTTAGATCATTTAATTTTAATTTAGATGGTCTTGATTCAAAATAAACATATTATGTATTGTGTTTTTCACTTATGATGTGCTCGCAATCTTTATAATAGTTGACACAATGTCATGTCTTAATGGAATGAGGTTGTTCAATTAGATAGAAAAGTACATATAATTTGGAGCGGAGGCTTGGTTGAAGAGATGAGCTAGAGCTTGGAGAAGAAAGAGTTGACAAGGAGTAGAAATTGAAGGTTTTTTTTTTTGTTGATACAAAAAAGGGTTTAATACATTAGAAGGGATTGAGATCCCAAATAGTAGAAATTGAAGTTGGAACAATGAGTTAAATCAACAAGGAGAAAATTGGTAGTATTTATGCTAAAAAGAAGAAAATTTTATGAAGACCGGAAGGTATTGACAAAAGTAGGAACTATAGAGATAATTATTTTCTACAAAAATTGAAAAAATCTCTTTGAAAAAAATATAACAAAGTTCTCTCATAAGAAAAACTAATTTGGTTTCAAAAGTCTAAATGTAAATGTCTCAAATGGGAATATCAAAACACGAAATTCTTCCATAACACATCCATTATCAAAAGGAAAAGGAATTAGATTTTATCTCTTAAAGTGGATGATGATAATTGGATTGAGGATCAAAATATCCTATGAAACATGGCTGCTTCTTTCTATGAAGACCTTTTTAAGAAAGATAACGAAGATAGACCCAAGCTCACTACTGAAAGATGCTTTCCTCTACTATCTTCCCTGCAACTTCATGCTCTACACAGGGAAGTGATAGATGATGAAATAAAAAATGCTACTTTTGATATTGATGCATTCAAAGCTCTTGGTCCTAATGGCATCAATGTTGGTTTCATCCACTCTTTTTGGGGTGATTTTAAAGTTAGCATTTTCAACCTAGTCAAAGAAGTTTTTAAAGAATTAGATTCTATTAGAGAGATCAATGATACTTACATTATCCTAGTTCCTAAGATTGATCACCTAACCTGCATGAAAGACTTCCATCATATTTCACTCTGTAATGTGAACTATAAAATTATTATCAAAATTCTCTCTAGCAGTCTACGTGTTTGTATAAATCATTTAATTGGTGATAATTAAAGTAGTTTCGTACATGGGCAACAAAGCAATGATAATATTATTATTGCTCAAGAAATTATCCATTCTATATGGAATAAAAGTAGGAAAAAGGGCTTTATAGCTATAAAGGTTGACCTTGAAAAAGCTTTTAACAGACTATCTTAGAACTTTATTGATGATACTCTCAATTCCATTAGAATGAATAATCACTTCAGGAAACTAATCCAGGCTACTATTTCCATATCATGTATGAGAGTCCTATGGAATGGTGAACCAACTAAAAAATTCATACCCTCTCATAACATCCATCAAGGAGGTCTTCTTTCTCCTTATCTTTTTATCCTTTTATTGAGCTTTGAAACCATTGCATTCTCCTTATCTTTTATCCTATTAGACTAATACCTAATGGACCTCCTATTTTTCACCTTTTTTTTTTGCTAATGATGTAAAATCTCACTCTACTAAATATAACTAACCAATAAAAATCTTGGTAATCAAAGGATTAATCTATAAAAGCAATTACTAAGTTTTAGTTCAAAATCAAGGGTTTTCAAGTTTTCTCAATCACAATGAGTTTAAATTAATTGTAATCTCTTATATCACAATAAAAACAAGTTACAAAGCATGGGATACCTCATAGGGGTGAAAACAAATGAAAACAATTGAAAAATAACACGTTTGCTATGAGATAGGGCAATGCGCCATAGTTCGTGTACGCTGCACTACGGTGTGTTGCTCTCTATATCATATGTTGCAGCTCAAGCACTATGCCTTGGTAGCTTTATCCTTTTCAACACCGGAGCTAGAGCCTGAAAAATATTAAAGAAAAAGGGTGAGTCTAGCCACTCAGTAACCAAGGTAAAACCTACACTATGCAGTTATATATTAATTGTAAATCAAACACATGCATATAAAACCAAGTAATTAAAACATGCTTTAACACATATCATATCTTACTAATCCATTTAGCACATTTTCATCTCACACATGCTGGGTACATAATTACAAAATACTTAAGCATGTGACCATGACCTGATATATCACACAACTTGTCACAACTCAAAATATGTGACACGTCATAAGTTTATATAGGCAATGTTTAACTAACTTTATGCCCTCCTTATTTCTTTCAACTAAAACTGTGGGCTATAACACTGAATAGGGTTTCATCTGTGTGACTAGACAACTCAAGCTCATCAATTGTAAGGTGTGACCCGGTTAAAGATCACATGACTTACTCTCGGACTATGGCTTCTCTCATGTTCGAATCTCTGGAGTGTCGTATACCCTAAGCTATTCTCCTTATTAAATTGGTAGAGATAGCTAGGTTATAGTCCTTCGACAAACTCTGGGATAAGCTATACCCTCGTGCACCGAAGGGCAGGTTAAATAGCGTATGGATTTTCTCTACTCTCAATCCATAAGTAAACTCTCGCCCACTGATCATGCCATATACGATGCTCATTTAATTTTCATAATCTCAATTATTTAATATCAATATCAACACGTTGGGCTCACGACCGTGCGCTATCCCAATAAGTATAAATTCTCATTTTCACTTATGACACATAAACACATCACTTTTAACCTCTTATATTCTTCTTTATCATATTCATCGTCAATCACTCATTCACAACACATTGTAAAGAGAAATTCTTTTTGAACACCATATTTACCACTTCAAAACTCATTTTGCAATTACTTTCATATGTTTAATACACATCATACAATTTACATGGACACCAAGTTTCAATGCATAACCCAATTTCACAAGTCATAATTTGCATGATAAACACATAATTTACATCACAATTAACATATAACTACCCAAAGTAGGGTTCTCCTGGTTACCTCAAACCTTTGAGAGATCAAAGGTTTACCCCCTCAATATTATAACTTTCAAGCTTGAATTCCTAAGCCAAATTGATATCCAAGAGCTTAATCTATAATTAACCAAGATGGATTTCATCAACAATGTCGATCACACATAACTCTCAACTCACACTTCACTTCTAACTCACCCAATGCCCATGTTGCTCATATTTGAGTCTACCCATTAGGTTTATTAACTCTCTTTAATCCCCAATAACATTAATGAGCCATTGAACTTGCATTAATAGTATCACACTCTTCCAACAACCCACATTAATGCAATTTTTGTATATTTATGAAGCCTAATCACCCAAGACATCAAAATTCATTATATTTAGGCTTAAATACTTTAATATACTCTCATTAAATTTATTTGAATCAATAGATTCAGACTCATAGCCTATATGGATCAAAAATCATCTTTCACTATCAAACCCTGACCATAAGCTTCATAATGTAGAAGAAAATGGAAGATTAAGAGGCATGATACTTATCTTGGATATTTGTAACTTTCAAAATACTCTCACTATCGTCCAAGAACAAATTCTAGCAGAGTTTGGCATGCCTCTTCATTTTCTCCTTTTTCTTCTCTCTATTTTTGTCTCAGTTTATGACTTATTTCTATAAAATTTGCACCATGTGCCGCGGCGCTTATCCTCACACACCACGGCATCTGATAAAGAGAAGACAGGTCTCACCTTGTGGCCCTATGCACCGTGGTGCACCACGCATGTGCTGCGGCACATGACATGGAGGCTTTTCAACTTGTAGCCTCATTTTCAAATAAATTTTATTTTATTTTTTATTTTATAACTATTAAAATAAAAATTTTAAAAAATTAATAAATTCATTTTTGAATAATATAGACTTAATCTTGTAGCCTAATTCAATATTGAAAGTTTTTAAAATTTTTATAAATTAATTATCTAAAACTGTTCTGAACGATTATGTTTTAAAATTTTGACGTGTTTAAGAATTGATAATGATCATGTGATCTCTATCTTTTTTTGAGAAAAAATAATAAGCAAATCAACTTGCTAACTCACAGATTAGCTTACTACCCACCTCACTTAAAATAAATTCATTTTTTTCAACCCAAGTCATTTTTTTTTTTTTTGTGGATTAGCAGGTTTAGCCCTTGTCAAATATATCTAACATACGTGTGCGCTCTTGCGCGTGTGCACTCATGTTGTAATATGTATGTGATGGAAGCAAAACCTGTTTTTTTATATATATAAAAAGCAAAACCTGTTAAATAAAGGGTTGGTCATGTTAATCGCACCCACGTTATTCACGTGGATAGCCCAAAGATGTCCAATCAATCATTGACTTGTGTGACACTACCAAT